GGAGGTGGGAGCCCTCTCGGCTGATCCGTACAGTGCGGAGCAGGATGCACCAACACAGGGTACATGATGAATCTGAGGGGCTACGGCGCGGGAAGCCAAGACAAACTCACTGCCACGACACTCCACTCGGTCACATTTGCTTTCAGCTTGGCCTAGGCCGGTCAATTCACTCTTAATGTCCTCACTATCCACCCAGCAGGGTAGGAACAGGGCTTAGAGCATCCGAATTGTGGGAATAGCAGCTCTGCGGAGAAAGACCTGGGTGTCCTGGTGGGTGACAAGGTGACCGTGAGGCAGCAGGTGCCCTCGTGGCCAAGGAGGCCAATGGGATCCTGGGGGTCATTAGGAAGAGTCTCCAGGAGGTCGAGTGAGGGTATCCTGCCCCTCTGCTCAGCCCTGGTGAGGCCACATCTGCAGTATTGTGTCCAGTTCTGGGCTCCACAGGACAAGAGGGATGTGGAGCTGCTGGAGAGAGGCCAGCGCAGGGCTACGAGGATGATCAGGGGCCTGGAACATCTGCCAAACCCGCTTGGACGCAGTCCTGTGCCACGTGCTCTAGGTGACCCTGCGTGTGCAGGGGTTGGACTAGGTGACCTCAAGAGGTCCCTTCCAACCTTCAGCATTCCGTGATTCTATGAATTATGGGGCACAGCTCCCTGTTCCAGCCCAGGCCGGCGCTCCAAGCCCTTACTCACGTTGAGTCCTCTGAAGAAGTCCTTGATGGATTCTTCCGTCACGTCATAGGGCAGGTTTCCCAGGAAGGCCGTGTAGGGGGGCGACTTTGGGAGGCGGCTTCTGTCTATATTGGGTTCCCGAGCGGCCCGCGGGGCCGTGGGCAGGAGGGAGCGGTCGATCGGAGGGGCCCGGTACACATCGTCATCGTTACTATGCCAAGTGGTGGAAACTAAGAGAGAAAGGTTGCAAAATCACCCAAAACAGAACGCGACGGGAGGGCAGTTCCTCTACGCGTCCCACGCGGTGCAAGCGGTGGCAACTCAGCTACTTTACAGCTAAGGAGCTTCGTGCTAAAGCCCTGAGCTAATCTCATCTGGCTCAACTGTTTGACAGTCCAGGAAGGAAAAAGCAATTGTTTTCCACGTGCAAATGTGACTTTTCCCCAATACATGCAGGAAAAGTGCACAAAAAGCACGAGAAATTCAGTCAAGGACAGCTTTGCTAAGGAGAAACTGAGACAGCGCGAGGGAGAACGACCATTTAGACCAAGGAGCTGCTGAACGGAGCATTAAGTCCTCCCAGGATTAATTCTTGTTTAAATTACAGCACGTCTTGTGGAAAAATACCACAGCTTGACACTGCTTCAGACAGAAAATTCGCTCTAAGTGCTGCCCCTTTCCAGTGGGTCAGCACCCTCACCATTAAACTTCCCTGCTTTGTGAATTTGCCCGGCCTCCACTTCCAGTTCGCGCTGCATTTTTGGCTGTTCCGCCACTAAAAAGCTCTTGATCCAATTTCTGTTGTCCCTGCGGGTGCTGGAGGCCAGGGTGACACCTGCCACCTCGTCACCTGCGAGCCCCAGTCCCAGCAAGGACTTGGTTCATTCTCTGAGCTTAATTATTAACCCAGAAAAGAAACAACTAGCAAATTTCGCAGTGCTTTAACGTTTTATTTTGGATCATCAGCTGGTAAAGGATACGGTCAAGGCCCTTAGCAACATTTCACACCCAGGCTTCTCCCCCAGCCCTTTAAGAGAGGGGGAGAATCCACCTGACTCCGCATAGCGCTGCCAAACGCAGCGAGGAAGCCCCAAATGGAGAATTCCTTCCTTTTATGCTGCAAGCCAGATTTTTTTTTCAGGGTTTTACTGTGAAAAGAGCTGTTGGGAGCCGCACACAGCCGAGAGCTGGGAAATGACAGTACCATCTCCTTCCAGGTCATCTGTCTCGTCGGCCCAGCTGACGGGTTTGGGAATATAGGTGGGCCCACCGCCGCCGCCGCCATCCTCCGCCAGAAAGTCCGTCAGAGTGAGGGTCTTGCCCTTCTTGTTCTTCTTCTTAGCTGCCAAAGAGAGGGGGAGAGAAGGATTTAGGGAAATAATGTCCTGGAACAGCCTCGTTCTGCTGCAGGGATGAAACAAGGGCCGGCCTGAATGTCTCTGAGCTGCTCGGGGGTGTCTCGGAGCGAGAGCATCCCAAAAGGAGGGACGGGAAGAGATGGGAAGCTCATGGAAAAGCCGGAGATGCGACATCGCACCCAGGCCAAGGGGAATCCGCCTCTTGGCCTAAGCCCTCCTATCCGTGAGGAGTGAGCCGGACGCTTCCGTGACCCTCCCCGGCAATTCCCGGCGGATGTTCGCTTCCCGCTTTCCGGCACTGCCGTGCCATGCGGTAGGAAGCCCCGACCGGTGCTTTGGCCTGGCAAAAGCCTGGGATGGAGCAGGAGATGGGATCTCCTTGCCGAGCTCCGCGCCCTTTCCCGGCTCCGCTCGCGGGAATTGGGTCCCTGGCACAGAAAAGGCTCAAAGCCACCAAGGAGCCCGATGGCCCCGTGCTAACGAATCCCAACGTCGCTCCTGGGAAGAGCCCAGGGACCTCCGGGCTCCAAACTGGACCGGAACCAGCGGCCACACGGCCAAGGACCCACGGACAGGAGCCCACGGGCCCCTCCATCCACACGCAGCAGGAAAACGTATCCCAAGCCTCAGTTTGGACGAGCAGCCTCTGCTCCATCCCAAGATTCGACGCTCGCAGCGATCCCACCCATCCCGGCCAAAATTCCTTAACGGGCTCTGGGAAACACAGGCTGTTTGCAGGGCAAAAACCTGCTATGGATCAGGAGCCGCTCCACTGAACTGCTTCCCTAATTCCTGCAGGATTGCGGATATTTTGGCTCTGCGAGGAACAACCCACGGCTCCGTATGTGTTTTTTTAAATATCGAGGCTTTGCAAGCGTCTGAAAACGGCCGTGCACAGTGACAGGCTCCAACTTTGAGCAGCTCTAGAGAATCCAGGCTATTTTTAGGGAGCTGGGTGCGAGGCGGTTACGAAATTCCGGGTTTTTCCTTCGGGGAAGTGTTGCTGGCCCCCGGGGCCGGAGCACGTTTCCCTCCGGAGCGCTGGGGGAAAACGAGAGGATTATTATTTGGGAAGAGCAAATAATGAAGTTTGGCACTTCTGGAAATGACACAGGTATCTCTCACCAGCCTCTTGGCAGGGGAGCATGAGAATTAATTGGTAAACATGTTGCAATGCTGTTAATTAACGTAATAATAGTGGACTCCGAGTTTTACCCGGCTCCTAAATGTCCACCTCTAATTAGGCAACACTCGCCTGCCATTCGCTTTGCTCAGCTAGCTCAGGGAGGGTGAAAATAGGTAAAAACAGCAGGTAAAAACAGCCCTTCCACAAACACGAGCACCAGTGACAACTGTGAGTCTCCTGTGCACAAAGTTGGCTTGGAAAAATGATGGGGAGAAGCGGAATTTGCCCCCTTCCCAGCCCTCCCGACTGCGGCTTCTTCGACTTCTTTCTGTCCTGGAGTTCGGGTTTTAGCAGGGAATTCCTTGGCGGGCAATGGCAGGAGGTATCGCAGCCATTCCGGCCGCTCTCGGAGCGTCTCCAGCTCCTTCTCCAAGGAAAATTCCCGCCTGGAAGCGCTAGCAGGGCTGGCTGATCAGCAAGGGGTGAAAGAGCCGACGGGAGCACCCAAAGGAGCCAAGCGACACCCTTCCCGCTCCGGTTCCGAACCCACCTTCCTCCTGCATGGAAACGGAGCCCGGGATGGGGGAATCGGCTGCTCCCTTCCCCCCCCCCCCCCCCCGGTCCCCCAGTTTGGTCACAGGGTCCTGGAAAAGGGGGGGACAGGGGGTCCCTTCTTGTCGTGGGAACGGTGACGGGGTCACAGTGGCGACACTGTGACTTCACACCACCGCCGAGGGGAGAAGAACACCCGGAACCGCCGGCCGCTTCCGTCCGGGGGTCCCTTTTCCGTGTCCTCCGTCAGGCCCGACCTACACGTGGCTACAGCAGGACAGCCCTTTGGAACGGACACTCCCAGGAACAGGACGCGGGGCGCGGAGCAGGATACCGGGAGAGCAGCCACAGGGGGGAAAAATGAGGCCAAAACACCTCGTTTGGGAGGAAAAGAGGCCTTTTCAATGGCAACGGATGGTACAAGGGGGGTTTTCTGGACACCTTTAGCTTTGGACTCCAACACCAGGAACCCGCCTGCTTGGAGTCAGATAAGGAGTTGGAGCAACTCCCTGCCCTGCCCACCTTGGATCCTGCATAAGGGTATTTGTTATTAACCCTTAATTTCCCCAAAATATCAAGGGTTGCTTTCTGGCTGCCAAAAAACCTCCCCCTGGGGAACCGGCTGCATCAAACTCGACCCTTAAGAGCCAATCCCAAAACCAGGATCTGCTGCTGAGGGTCCTGCCCTGGGTGCTGTCAAAAATCCGCAATTTAAGGAAGATCCAACAGGCACAACCAACATTCCCTCTTCCATTTAAACTCTCTTCCCTGGTTTAAAGCTTTCCTTGTTTGCAAGAGTCTCACAAGACACATTTTGGCCATTTCAAGCCAGCCACAAACATACAAAAAGAAGGCCATGAAATAATTTTTAAAAAGCAGCAATTCCAGCATTTCTGCCCGCGGCTCTGCTGAAATACAGGAGCTTACAGTTGTGCCGGGGGGCTCCAAACGGCGCCGGCGAATCCGACACGACTGGTTTTGGGGATGCGGGATATTTTAGGCCCGCAGCGAAAGCAACGGCCTGAGCGGCGTGGCTTTTATTCAAGAATAACGACAAAAGGATGAAAATTAAAAAGCAGCAATTCCAGCATTTCTGCCCGCGGCTCTGCTGAAATACAGGAGCTTACAGTTGTGCCGGGGGGCTCCAAACGGCGCCGGCGAATCCGACACGACTGGTTTTGGGGATGCGGGATATTTTAGGCCCGCAGCGAAAGCAACGGCCTGAGCGGCGTGGCTTTTATTCAAGAATAACGACAAAAGGATGAAAATTCGGGAAAATTAAGCGCTGGGGAAGACACTGTTTAATGGGGGGTCTCGGTCTCCGGTGCATTAAATGCGCCCGGGGGGGGAGGGGG